GCCTCCTGGGTTCTAGCACTTCTGTGCCTCAGCTCTCCTGGAGTAGCTGGGATTATAGGCACGTGCCACCACACCAGGCTAATTTTTGTATTTTTAGTAGAGACAGGGTTTCACCATGTTGGCCAAGGCTGGTCTCGAACTCCCTGACCTCAAGTGATCCACCCGCCTCAGCCTCCGAAAGTACTGGTATTACAGGTGTGAGCCACCCCACCCAGCTGGATTTCATATATTCGGATTTAGCGAAGTTTGTGGAAGTGGGAACTCATAATTCTGAGTGGTGGTACAATTTCTAGAGAATTCTCTGGCCAAACGGTAATTCACTGTCATGATGACCAGTTTTGTGTTTTTAACTGTGGGTCCTGTGAAGTGTACCAAAAGGACTGCTTGCACCTTGCCTCTCTCAGGAATGCCTTCAGATTCCCTTCGAGGTAGACACCTTAATTAGATAGGAATATTCACATTACTGATTTAAAATTTCAGAAATTTTAAAGTGAAGTTGAAAGTGAGCAAGTCTTCTTGAAGTAATCCTTACTTACGCAGATGGCTCCTTATTTTTAACTTCTAAGAGCACTTGTTCCAGAACTGTGCACAACTGTAGCTGTTACCATAGAAACACTCTCAGTCCAGATAGAACAAACATTCGGTCCATCCAGTTTCTCTGCCTCTTAGTTTTTGTTGCCAGGATCAGTCCTGCTGTTCATCCGCTTGTCGGGATCAGTATAGTGTTATGATTCCAGTTGAATTTGATCAATCACTTGGATTTTTTCTTCATTTCTCAAATGATTTCGTATCTGGGTTTTAGGGATGGGGCACAGTTGTGAGAAATAAGGAAAAGCATCTTTGCCACTGTGGCTCTGTCTTCCCTATTCTGGTCAACGTGAGGAAGCCTGTAGACTTGCTGCTTTTATTTGATGGTTGCTTCAAAGATCATCTGATGTAAAGGAGAAGATGTCAGGGCTGGGAATCTGAGGACGGGTGAGATATTGGCTCATTAGTGAAATCTTTCTCTTATCCCAGATATTCTAGATTTAGACTTCTCAAACTTCTGACATAAAAGAGTTGAGTAGAATGGACGCTGGTTTAGTTCAATCAGCTGAAGTGATTTCATTGTCCGGCCTGACTTACATCTTCAGCTGATGTTTTCTTTAACCTTGCTTTTATTTAAAAGGGTAGTTTTACAACAAGAAAACTAAGAAAAAATGTAAGAAGTATCAAACCTGTAGCCATAATTGCAATCTGGAGGTATGAGGCTCTAAGCTGACACCGTGTCCTGGAATGTTAGCTGGGATCCTCATGACTCATCACCTGTGGATAGGACCAATGGGTTGAACCGGAGTTCTGCTTGCTATTCCAGAAAGCAGCAGGATTTTAGGAACATGAGAAATGATATTGTAGACTGCAGATTTTTGGTATAAATTCAAATAATTGGGGATTATTCTTGATATACCTCAGAACTTTTTATTATTAAAAGTGCATTGTTTTCCTATAAAAATGCAAATCGTATTTAAGATTTTCATGTGAATTGTGAGAGTCTAAATAGTTTCTGCGTATAAAATGCAGGTTTTGTTCATGGTTTAATGGTGCCTGGGTTGTAACAGAAAAGTGTTAGGGCAAAAATCATAAGAGAAAATGATTCTAGTATTTTATGTCTGTCTACATTAGACTCCTGCTCAGGGAATAGAATTTGGGAATCACATAATAAATAAGAAACCTGCATGCTTGATTGAACATTTGCTTTCTTCACTATCAGACACGGAACATATATTTTAAGGCTTTAAAGGCATTCGAGAGATTTTATATAGGCCATAAAATTCATTACCCTCAGAAATAAGAATCACTGAAGAATATAGTTGACTTACAGAAAAAAAAAAAAATCCTCTTCAATTTTAAGCTGCTATTAGTTCTCTTTACAAAAACTTGGGAAAGTTATTTTGCAAACTTTAACCATGACCTTGCTTTACTTCCGTGTATTTAATTTCACTGAAATGATATTTCAAAGAAAAGCCTTTCTGGAAATTGTTTTTCCTTTTAATACCCAAATTAAACAACAGCACTATAGGGCGGGTGGTCTGAATCAGTGGATCAGCTATTTGGCATGGATGTAGAAGAAGGTGCGCTGAAACTCAGTACATCTGTGTTTAGCCTTAGGCAGGAAGTCTGTTCCTTCAAGTAAACCTAACTACTAAAGATACTCCTTGCAGATGGCTCATTTCCGGCCCATGGCAAGGTAGACAAGTCATACGGTTTTAAAGGCAGAGCCGTCTTGTCTGTCTCACGGGGACTTAAGAACAATTGATTGTTGAAGGAATCCTAGTGCTTTTGGCTTCCAATACAGACAGACAGACAGATGCTCTCTCTCGACCTAGCTGAAGCAGGTCCCAAATGTTCACACGCAGAACGCGGGGAACAAAGAAAGAAAATTGAACTTTCCGTAATATATTCCAGTTTCTTCTAGATTCACATATAGCTCTGAAATGAAAGATGTAGATTGTTTGCATTTGTTGCATTGTTTTGAAATTTTTATTATTAAACTCCTGACAATTTTAGGCACAGAAATGTTTGCTCTGGTGTTCACACAGCCCAAACATTTTCCAGATGGGTTGTAAGAAGTCTGCCTCATCCAGATTTTATTTCTGCTGGAGAGGTCATACTCATGTGTCCTTGCATATTTTTCCTGCCAGATGTGGGAAGTGACAGGGCATGGTTTAATTTGGGCTGCTGTTTGAGCTATGCCTGTAGCAGATAGGTCTTTTGAAACTTGCCCTTTGCCTCTCCTCCTCCTATAATTCATTTTTTCTCATTCTTTTTTTTTTTTTTTTTCTGATAGTGCATATTACTTGAGATTTTCCTGGAAAGGGTGTGATTATCTGAATTGGATTTTTCTGTTACCTTCAGCAGCTTGAATCCTAGCTGCTGAAGGCTGGGTGTAGTAGGCTAGTAGCTGAGAGCTAACCTAGAGCTGGCAGACTCAAATGGAATCTTGATCTCTTCATATTTAAGGCTCAGAAAACTCAAAAGGAGTGCTTTGTAAAATATGTCTGTTTATATTATATGTATGATAATTAGTATGAGTACAAAATGGTTGGGCAAAATTTAGCTGGGCTCAGATAGAGACTTCCCCTGTGGATCAGATAATGGGAAATGAAAAAGTATGAGGACACAGACTTGCTCATTGTTCTTCATCTTTTATATTTATTTCTTGTCTTGGTCTGCTGTAGAATGTTCCAGAAATGTCATTGGGTATAATGTCTGATTTAGCACTGACTTATTTGTGGGTTTGCTTATATATTTCTTCTCTCTTGGGCTTTGGGTATATGACTGCCATAAATTTGAATTACACTAATTAGACATAGGTGGACGCTAAGCCCAGTTGGATTCCTAGCCCTGTTCAACTGCCTCTGTCATTAGTTTTTCTGGTGACATGGTTTGGCACCATCTTCCAACACATTTTCCTAGAAATGAGTTTTAAGTTAGAAAACAACTTATCTAATAAAGCTACTGACATTCAACTAGTGTCTTTACCTTTGTTGAAGTGGGACTTGAGTAAAATGCATACATTTAAACTATAACTTGTATACCCATTTCTTTCCTTAACTGTGGTTTTCAGATTCGCTTTTGGTGGCTAGGAGGGAGTCATTCCCCATCCTCAGGAGTCCGTGTGCTCGTGTCTAGTTTAGGTGGAGCCTGAGACTTGGCACACAGGGCTGGGTGGCAGGTTTTAACATGTGTGTGGCAATGCTAGTCAATTGGGGATATCCACATGGCTCATAGTGTAGAGGATTCTGAGGTCTAGAGCCAGAAGGTGGGAAGCCAGCCTTGATCAGGTGGCGCACCACGGGCACAGGAGGAGGCAGTCTTAGGAGCACTCACCCTGCGTCTCCTCGGAGGATGTAGGGCTAAGTGTGAAGCCTATTCCCTGTTCTCACAGCTCTGTGATCTCAGAGTAGTCTTTGGATTTTGCTTTTGGCTGAGTATGCCAAACTATGTCCTCCACAGCACAGGGTTCAGGTTGAGTTTGCCGTTCCTAGTTTCTCCCTGGAAACATATCCCTCATCTTTAACCCTACTTAAAGGGCTTAAAACATTCTACTCTTACTTTTAAAGGATACTTTAAAAATACAGGCCACATCTGTTTCACTTAATCTGCATTCGACAGCACCTCATGACACAAAAAGTAATGCAGTCTGTTTGCCAAGCAAGCACTTGGAAATTTCTTGGTAAGTAGAAACTGATAGGAGCCTCTGTTTTTCCACCTGAGGATTGTTGGCGCTTTGCATCCACTCCATATCATCTCTCACCAGCATCCACGCCTCACAGGGCTGCCTCTCGGCCCTCTCACATATTTGTAGGCGTGTTTGTTCGCTGTTCAATGCACTCAGCTTTGTCAAGTGCTCATTGCTCTCTGAAAGGTGTTTTGAATTCATGAGGCTAGCGGCTCTGGTGCAGAAGGAGACAGAACCAGAAGACATGGAGCTTGGGGCTTTGAAGGTCTTTCCTTCAGGAGGCCAGATGATGAGTGCATTTCTCTCTTGTTATTTTGCTAAGGCGGCTGACAGTGGTGAGACACAACTGAGGAGGCGGGAAGCGTGCATTTCTGGGGGTCCAGCATGCTGTTTAGCTACTGATGAGGGTGGGCAGAAGAGTCAAGCAGACTCCCTCCTGCTCTAGGACAGTTTCCATGTAGGAAATCAGGAGTCTGGAGCCACTCAGAGTATGGGCATATTGAGGCTGCTGGCCTTTTGTCAGTTCTTTGGAACAGGCACGATGGGGTTATTGTCATCTCGAATCTCAGGCTAAGGGAGCTTCAGGAAAGGACTTCTGCACTACTTTAGGACCCATTATTGTTTCCAAATCCTTTTTAAGTGTAATAAGGCCGCTTGGTGCAATTCATTTCACTACTTGTTTGGCAAAGGGAGTTTATAGAATCAGTGTGAGACGTGGAGATGGTGTGAAGATGGCGTTTTCAGTCCGCCGATGTCCTTGTTTCTCCCTTCCTTGCAGAGTCGCTAACATCCAGCAGCAGCTGGCCCGGCTTGACAACGAGTCCTGGCCAGGCACGGCCGAGGCTGACAGGGACCGGCTGCAGCTCATCAAGGAGAAGGAGGCCCTGATGCAGGAGCTTCAGCTCATCATCGCACAGCGCAGCTCCAAGGAGATGTGTGGCCCGGCTGAGGAGGAGCGGAGCGCCTGGAGGAGGAGCTGCGGGCGCAGCACGTGGGCCACTCGCACAGGGCGCCACGGAAAGGCTGAGGGACAGAACCTCCAGCGGAAAGCCTGCTGGAAAACTCCACGATGGCTTGTGTGTGGCTGGAGGGTGTTCTGATGATCGCTCTTGTGAGCCTCTCCTGCCTGGATGTTCCCTGGCCCAGGAGGGGTGTGCGGTGGGGCACTGCCTTCCTGTCTCTGGACCCACTCCCTGGGTCTCTGGAGCCCTCTGCTCCAAAGCAGGAGGTGATTGACAAGGGGGAAGGAGTGAGGGAAGATAGGTGACCTCCACTTCCCCCCATGTCCCACCCTTCCCAAAGCTGGTGCTCGCTGCTTTCACCTGCTCTCGTGGACGGTGCCCTGAGCAGGCTGTGGTCCGCCTCCGGCCGGGCAGCTCTGTTGCATGGGGGAAGAATTCTGTTCCTGACGTGGTGAGCATGGTGTGTATCCACCTTCTGCTTTCCTCTCCTAACTTTGATTTCAGCCACAGGAGGGCCTGCTCTTCTCTCTGGCATTGGGAAGCTGGCCACCTGTCATGGGTCTGCCCTGAGGCTCCTTCTCACTACTGCAGGGACATGCAAAGCTTCAGCATGGTGGCTTTGCATTGGCTGCACTGAGTCATTCCGCCTTCCTCATGCACCATGCGTCCTGGTTTCCATTTGCTGTGTGAGATTGCAGATTAGCCAGAGGCTGGGCCTGCTTTCCACACTTAACAGCAGCATTCTGTGCCTATCATCTGGGCTTTGGAGAGCAGCCTCCCCGACATGGTGCCAAGGTCTTGCTCCCTTGAGATCACACATGAGCAGCTCCACAGAGACATAATAGACGCTGATGATTCGGATCTGTTCAGATGCTCTTACCCTATTTCACGATGGTTGTCTGTATTGTTGGGCGCCCTTTATGCTTGGATGTTCAGGGGTCACTTTCATAGGAGACAAGTCTGTGGCTTGGCACGAGGGACTCATGGCAGCCTCAGAGGGAAGCGGTGGTGTTTGGAGTTGAGTCATGTCTCAGGCAGGTGAATTTCATTTTGCCTGAGATGGTGGCATGCCCTGTCACTTCACCCAGAATCAACCGCGAGGAGAATGTGAATGCAAAGGAACTGCGCCGCTGAAGTTTTCTACTGTGCTCTTGCACGGCTGCGTTTGTTTCTAACTGATTTCTTCCTGTTCCACCCCTGATATTCTCGTACGTGTGTTCTGCATAGGAGGGCCTGGGAGTTCCTGTTGCTTCTCTGTGATAGGGGGATGGACTTGGCCCCACAAATGCTACCTGCGTCTTAGGGCCCACACCCACACTCCCTTGACTGTGGCTGCTGCTCACGTGGAAATCCAGCACACCCGGAAAGCTGTGGCTCCTGAGTACAAGTCTGCAGCCCTCCATGGACACGCCAGTGTTAGCCCTGATGCCTGGGTTCAAGGGCGATAAAATGCCGACTCCAGCTTGACTCACATGGGGTCTCACGTGACCAGCCCAGGTGCTGAGTCCTGGGGCTCAGAGCCCTCTATCAGGACCTAATCGCCCGAGCGTGCTTCCTGAATTTGCCACTAAATGACCTTGGCCGGAAAAGCACATCCACATGTGCTAAGCACTTGCACGCACATTGCATGGGAGTGGGGTTTCAGCTCTGGGCCTTCTGTACAGCAATACAGGGCCCATTTCTCCACACCACCTCCCTTCATTGGAGGGGTGCTTGCAGTTTGCAAGCATGGGGCCACATGGTAGGAGGCTTCCCCAGCACAGGCTGGGCAGCGCGTTAGGGAGATCTGGGCGTGGCCAGGTACAGAGAGAGAGTGAGGTTAGTGCTGCTGGGCTGAGCTGTGCCAGCTGTGGAACTGGGCCCAGTCTGCCTGTCTCACCTGCAGTGTCATCAGCAGCAAATGGGAGGCATGTGCTGGGCTGGGGGTGTCATCCGGGGAAGAAAGAGAGAGCTGCGTGATTCTCTGGCCTCCGCCCGGCAGATGATACATACGGCGGCCTCCCAGCTGCTCAGAGCCAGCATCTCCCGAGGGAGCTGGTGCACGTCTCCTGGGCTGAGGGAGCAGAATTGAGGTGAAGGACACATACTCCTAGATAATCCTCGGATGGCTCCCACAACGCTTGTGGCATCCTTCTTCTTTGTTGTTTTAGCTTGCTCATGTTAGTGTGTGGCAGGCATTTATACAAGATGCTGATGTTCAACAGAGAACCCCCACAGCTCTGTTGTAAGATACCTGCCATCCTGAGAAATTCCTTTCCAAGGATGACGGCTTTTATTATAGGGTGATTCAAAGAAAGATCTATCAAAAAGTTAAAAATTTATTCTGTTTTAACTCAGGTCACATTTTCTTGTTATAATTTAATGACATTTTTACAATATGGTACTTTATGTAAAGTAATAAAGACAGTAAATTAGACTTTATATTTTCTTAATCTGTTAGCTACTTTCATCTTCTTTCATATAGCAGTGGTAAATATTCTTTGAAGTTCGCTTTGAATTGGGGACATAAGGCTATGTGCTTTAGGAGTTGGGCCCTGGCCAGTTTTCTGCCAGGAAACTGTATCCCCTTTTCTTTTTGTTGAAAAAATATGTACAGAAGTCAGGCAAATGTCTTGATTCTCATTTTAGCAGTTTAACTCTAGCTAGTTTTTAGGTAACAGTTGGTTGCCAGCGAGTCCTGTCTGTGTATGAAGTTACATTTTTAGTCATCTGCACTGAATACACTAGCATAAATGACCACATGTGGGCACTCATGGGCACTTGTGTGTGATCTGTATGCAGATGCGCCTGTCTCTTGCATGCTCCAGATGCACCTGTTTCTGTATAATGACAAATGTGTTGTACTGATAGAAGGGGGAATTTTGACCAAACTTTTTTCATTTATGATAAAATAATCTGAAAAATAAGTCATGACTAAAGACAGCTCCAAAACTGAGCCACACGTATGAATGTTTCTGTATGTCAGATGTGTGAAAACAGAGCTGGAATGCGCCGATGGATTTAGCAATGGGTTGGAAATTCTACCCTGGTCACTCAAGAGTGGAGCCAGTTTTCAGTAAGAACTCAATTGAGATTCGTTGAATTAGATTTGTTTAATAGAATTTGAGTTGGGTTAGGAATTTCTGGAAAAGCATTAAGAAAAAAGTAATAGCCTTGACCGGCTTGGGTAAATTCCCTACAACAAATTGCTTTCTGGGGCTGGTCAGTGTTTGCCGCCGGATACGCTCTGCTGGTGTCGTCTCTGCCCCTGGAGTCCTCTGTGACTTCATAGTGTCCCAGTGCTTGTGAGAGTGGGTTCCAAGTTACAACTCCAAAGCCCAGTGAGTGGTGTATTTTGAACTCCCTTTTGAACTCCCTTTAAACCTCGCTCTCCGTCTCTGGAAAAGATGGGGCTTTTGAGGATATCGCCTTGATAAGCATTAGGTAGGATGTGAGTAATTATGAAAATTGGGGAAATGTTTTCAGTGCAAAGGAAATGCCTGTTTGAGCGGTAATGCCTTTGGCTTGGAGCTGTTTGCCTGACTCCAGCTTGAACCTGTAGGGCAAAGTTACTTATATGAGTTTCCTCGTCTGTAAAGCAGGGATAGAATCCAAAGACCAGGCGGAATGAGGCAGTGCATACAAAGCCCTCAGTGGAACTTCAGAATTGCTTTTTAAAAAGCACATTTGTACAAGCCAGCAAAACATTTTCCCTTAAAAACTAAAATATCATAGGTAAGTGTAATCTTAGGAAGATTCTATCAAGAGTTTATTACTTATTGTTCTCAAACATTTTGGTCTCAGAATCTCCTTCCAATGTTAAAATGCTGAGGATCCCAAAGAGCTTTTGTTTATATTGTTTTTTTAAAAGTTCCTTTTTCTAATTGTTTGCTTTTTCCTTTTTCCCTCTACCCAGGGACTCATCAGTGTTTGTGATTTTATCTGTCATATTTACTGGATTTAGAAGTTAACTCCTGGGAAATTTAAAATATTTATTTATTAAAGATAACAATAGGCCAGGCACAGGGAAAGCTCACACCTGTAATCCCAGCACTTTGGGAGGCCAAGGCAGGGGATTACTTTAGTTCAGGAGTTCAGACCAGCCTAGGCACATGATAAAACCACATTTTACAAAATAGACAAAAAGTTAGCTGGGTGTGGTGGCACGTGCCTGTGTTCCCAGCTGCTTGGGAGCCTGAGGTGGGAGGATGGCTTGAGCCCGGGAGGTGGAGGTTGCAGTGAGCTCTGATCACACCACTGCACTCCAGCCTGCACAACAGAGCAAGACCCCATCTCAAAAAAATAAAAAAAAGACACTAAAAACTAGTTATGTGGTTAATATTAGTAACATTTTATGACTGATAACTTTTTTTTTGAAACAATCTATAGTGAGAAGAGTGGTATTATTTGCTCCCGTTTCATCTCTTTAGCGTCTGACTGGCTAGAAGGCAGCTGCTTTGGGTCAGCTGGCTTATTCAGCCTGTTGAGATAGGGTCATTCTTTTGAGTGAATATGTGAAGACTATCTAGCTGCCTACTGATATGCCATTGGGAAAGAGGGGACCTCATAGGATCCCTGAAAGAGTTTCGGGATCCACAGGGTCTTTGGATCATGCTTTGGAAATGACTGTTTAATATATGATATTGAACTTGAAAGTGGGTTGTGTCGTGGCTCCATTTAGGACGATGCTTGTACTCTCTTGCCAACTGACCTCTGCATGGCAATTCATTTGGAATTTTGTTTGCATCAGGAGAAACAAAGGCTCGCCAGAATTTATGGGTATGTGGTTGAAACTTGTAAACAAACTCAGACTGGCTTGTCTTCCTTATCCTAAGTTGGTAAGATCTGTTTCCTTTATGGGTGATAGCAGCTCTTGTCGATCACGCGTCATTTGCCGTACATTATTTTATCTATGCACCATCAGTTCACTGAGCTGAGATTGTGGACGATTTTACAGGTAATGAAACCAAGGGCTCAGAGAGGGTGAGACATTTGCCCAAGGCCACAGCTTGTGAGTGACTGGCCAGGTGGGATTCTCTCAATCCCAGGCTACCATCGGACACCGTGGTCTGGCTCTCCTCACTCCTACCTAACCAAGCTCTTTAAACCCTTCGCATGTCCCCTTCCCTGTTGGTGGAAAGAGGAAGGTATTAAAGGGTCCTGCTGTGGCCACACATCAGAGTTATTGCCTTAATACAAACAGGAGTGTTTCCTTCTAGAGGCAAACATATTTATTCCTGGACTTGTCCAACAACTGTTTATTGAGTGCCTATCCATGGTAGGCTCGATTCTAGGTGGTGGGCTTATTGTAGTAGGAATAAATTTTATCTTTAGAAAATTACTTGGGCAGAAAAAAGTAGAAGGGAAGGAAACGAAAATGCCTCCAACCTCATGACCTGGAGATGGCCACAGCTGCTGTTTCCCTGCTTTCATTTGCTTCTAATGTTTGAACTGTGTAGATCTTAGAATTGTATTTGTTCTTCTCTAGAAGGTGGTCTAGGATGAGGGAATCTGATTTGTTCCAAGGAATTTCAACAGATGACTGCGTGCTCTGCATTTGAGCTCATCTGCTGGTTATCTGTCCTTCTGCTCACCTACCCCTCCTCCCATCCATCCAAGCAGCCATCCCCAGCCACCCACCCAGCCAGCCATCCAGCCACCCACCCACCCAGCCACTCATCCACCCACCCAGCCACTCATCCAGCCACCCACCCAGCCATCCACCCACAGCCACCCATCCAGCCACCCACCCATTCACCCATCTAGGGGCCGCCACCCATCTGTCCACCTGTATCTCACCCACCCAGCCACACATTGACCCATCCCTGTGCCCACTCCTCCCCTCTCACGCATCCTCCCCGCACTGTGCCTGGAGCTCGACAGAGTAGCAGGCACTCGCTCAGGGTGCCAGTATTTTTCAAATGGGACAAAAGCAGTCTCTGTGGTCTTGGCACTTGTGACCTGGGTGCTTTTAGAATGGGTGGTCATTGCAACCTAATTCAGCTGGGGGGGAATTGATAGTGGAATGTCTTGTTATGAACATATTCTCCCTGTCTTTGAAATGTACTAATCGACTGTTTTCTTACCTACAGGATTCTGCTTCAGGAAAAAAGGAATTGTCTACTTAAGTAGCTGGAAGAAGCCACACCCGCTTAACGTCCTACCTCCAGTCCCAGTTAAAAAGGTAGGTTACTTTCAAAGAGAAAACAGTATTTGATCATCGTGGTTCCAAATGACTGGTACATGAACTTGCTTCTTGTAGCTTGTTTTTCTCCTACTGAGCTTGACTCAAGTGTTGTTAACACAGAATGGATACATTTACATTTTTAATATGCTACTGCTACTTCGTATGACTCAAGGACTATGGAGAGAACCACATTTGGCTTCAGGGTAAATAAGAGGTGAAGTCAAAATGTATTCAAGGATTTTACAAAGTCTTAATTTAATACTTCTTGTAGAAGTGTACATCTATACATGTACATTTTTATTTTATTTTTTAAAAGCATATGCATTTTTAAGCTAGTAAGATTTGGTTGTTTCAAGAATGGCCCTGCGCACATTTCCTCATCTCTTACCGTATGGTAGAGCGTCATGTCAGGGGCCTTAGATGTGTGATTTTCTCAGATATTCCTCCTAACAATGCCCAAGGTGGGAGCTGTTCTCACCTCAGCCCCAGTGAGCCCGTGGGAGCCCAGAGGGGGTGAATGGCTTGAGCAAGTGTACCTGGCTACTATGCTGCCCAGCCGACTGGGACTTTGGGCATCGGGTCTCTGCTGTTGCCCACTGCTGTCTGCCGCCCTTTCCGTGCTCACAGGGTAAGCAGGGGTGGCTGCCCTGCCATCTCAGATGGCCATGCTGTCTCATTTCAGCCTGTGTGCCAGCACCCTGACGGCCCTCGGGGAGCAGCGCCACAGGTCCCTGGCCTCCAGCCGCTGGCCTCCTGGCCTCCAGCCGGGCTCCCTGAGCTCTCGGCCTCGCTTCTACGGACATCACGGCCCTCCCGCAGCATGAGAAGTCCACACTGAGGGCAGCCAGCTTCTACGCTCGACCTCATTCCCTTCGACTCGCTGGGGCGAGATGCCACCTTTACAGAGCCGGCAGGCCCCTCGGGCTTCCACAAGCAGAGGCGTGTCCCTGACACACCCCAGTCCCTGGCATCGCTGTCCTCCCGCTCCTCCCTGTCCTCACTGTCACCCCCAAGCTCGCCCCTGGATACGCCCTTCCTCCCTGCCTCACGGGACTCACCACTGGCGCAGCTGGCGGACAGCTGGTGTGGGCCAGGCCTGGGTGCCCTGGACAGATCATGGCGCACAAGCTTCGCTCTGGGGGAGAAGACTTACGAGGCATGGCGCCCTTCAGCTACACGGTCCCTGGGGACGGGAAGGGCCACACGAGTTGTGACCCCCACTGTGCCAGCTCCTGTGGTGGAAGTAAGTGCGGATGCGGCCTCTCAAGGGGTGAGGGTTACCTGCAGGAGGAAACCACGGGGCCAGAGTGAGGACCGCTGGCTTTCCAGGTCCATGGTGAGCTTTACATTTAGGAATGTTGATGTGATCAGGAAGAGTACACACCTGCTCCTTTCTGGTCTGTGTTGGGGAAAGATCACTGGAAATTGACAAAGTTGTCTTTCCTAGGTACTGGCTTGTTTTCAAAAATACTTAATTGTTCAAAACTAGGGTAAGAACCACAGTCTTCCACGCCTAGAGCTGCTAGAGATGTACTAGGCCTCTATGACCTTTGCAGCATGTGTACCGAGATGGAACCACAGTGTGCGCCCGCCTGAGACCATTATGTCAACTGGTGTCTGGTTGTAGCTATGGAAATCTCTTGAATTTCTTTTGCTAGTTTGATATCTCTTTATCTTTTATAGTTCTCAAGAACATAATTCTATCAAATGTGGAAGTGAAAATAATGTGTAATTTCAAAAGACATGCCCGTAAGTATCAGTCATTTCTACTGAATCAGTTTCTCTGGCAGGTTCTTCAAATGGAGAAACACAGTGAGCTCCGTGGCGCCTCATCCATTCAGTTGGTGTTGGTTCAGCTTCCCTGGAGCCGGGTCTTTCAGCATGTAGCCCGTTTGGAAGACCAGACTCCTATTGAAGGGAATGCTGACCCCAGTGCCTTTTCTGAGCCAACCCATGGCAACTTTATCTTCCTTTGGTTTTAAAGAGGATCAAGAACAAGGTCTCCCATTCCTGAAGTTCAGCACATTTAACTGATTCTTATTTGGTGTTAAAACGTTTAAATATTCCGTTTAGACAAGCACTAGATAACTTGTGCAGCATAGTGGATCTTTGCCAGGGGTGTTTTTGCCTCCTGCCCCTGGGGAACACTCTGCAATGTCTGGAAACAGTTTTGGCTGTCTAGGGATGGGAGATGCTCCTGGCATCTGCCAGTGCAGGCTGTGGATGCTACACCCTACCACATACAGGGCAGCACCCCTCCCCGGCCTTGAGAATGGTCCAGCCCCCAAATGTCAAGAGGGTTGAGGCTGAGAAACCTTAGTCACGTATCATGGAGTATTTATGCGGCAAAGGGTAGAAATAAACTAGAGAGCAGAACCAGTGTGGTGGTAGTGGCAACAGCTTCAGACTAGCACCTGGGAGACCAAGCTTTGTTCCCTGGGCCCTGTCCACTTCTAGCTGTGTGACCTGAACACGTATCTGGGCTGAGGTCACTTTTTCCATCCTTGAATGCAGAGTGATCTTTGTAACTCCCTTCCGTCTCACCACCATCTGTTACTTCCAAGAGATGGATGGATTGGTAGATCAATGGATAGGATGATCACTTCATAAAATAGTAGTCTGTTGGCACTTATGTGCGTAACCAGAGGCCGTCATGTTCTGAGACTGCCCCATGGCTTTTTGGCATCTCTATTTTGGTGTCTGTTTCTGTGTTTGCAAACACAATTTTGGTATCCCCAGACATTGTTTCTGAAGTCCATATATGCAGGTATCCTTCGTCAGCTTTGTTCCTCTTTATAACCACAGATTGATTGCTCCATGTTTTTTCCATTCAGTCAAAAAATAAATATCCAATTACGACTTTTTTCTTAGTCTCCTCCTCTCCCACCACCTTCTCCTTAAGGGATTGAGATTCCAGAATGTCAGTCTAGTTAGGCATGTGACCTGCACAAAGCCCAAGGGCCACTTTGGGCCAGAGGAGAGACAGAATAGGAGGGAGAAGGGCTGACTCCCACTACATCCTAATTCTATTTTTCTTTCGCTTTTCCTTGGCAGATATAATGGTTGAAACTTCAGATTGGGAATTGATTTGCTTATATGCACACTGCCATCTCGTGGTGAGCCATAGCGCATTAGTGATTATTTCTTGTGTACACCGCCATCTTGTGGCGGAATCTTTATATGACACTGCCGATAAATTTCTTGACTGACACTGCCATCTGGTGGTAGATTCTTATATGACATCGGTGGTGGATTCTTGGGCGACACTGCCGCCTAGCGGTACCTTTTATGATACTGCCACCTGGTGGTGGTTTTATATACTACGTATATTACGTTGTTCCAAGGACACACACTCTGTGTCCTTAGAAACTTGAAATGAGGGCCAGATTGGGTAGCCAGCTTCAGGCATGGACACAGGGGGGCCCTCGCCTCCTGCCCCATCATGTATCAGCTATGCTTGAACATTGCGGTCTAAGTTTGGCCTCAGCAAGTCTTAGTAATAAAATTTTTGTAAGCTAAAAACTTCAAATTGTCCAAACTTGCAAACCAGCCCCTCTGAATGATTTTTTCCTTGTGTTTTCAATCAATCAGAGGAAACAGAAGGCAGGTCAGAGGAGTGGGGCAATACACTGTGATCTTTCATACTATTTACGTTTTTGATGCAGTTTTGTCTTCCCTGGATTTTAAAAGTCAAATGTGTTGTGATTATGAAATACTTAGCTATTGTTATCTACCCATTAGTATTTGCTAATCAAAACCCATAAAAATCTTGACTTTGCTCATCTATTTATTGATGCTTTTATGATATTGATACTCCATTTAATGTTGTTGGCTTAGATTCTCCAGTGTTTTCACTTTGTGCTTTTTTTTTTTTTAAATCTTTCCTCATGCTCTATTGGTAGAAGTGCTCATACTGTAAGGGCCTTGGGAGTCCCCTTACCAGTGTTGTTGCTCAGGCCCCAGGCACACCTTTGTGCTGTGAATGGATGTGTTCAGGATGGCTGGGGTGTGGCCAAGGAGGGTTATCTTATAGCTGCGCTTCAACACAACTTAGCGATTGGCTTTATCGTTATCTCATTGTTAATATTCATGGCGGCTACTAAAGCTGTTTAAGAACTTTCCTAGAAGCTTTCACTGTTCACCTCTGTATGTGTTTGTTTCTGGAATGTAATGGTGTTCATTGCTGTCATATGCCACCTGGCAGCTTTAAGTATGCTGTGGTTTTTACTATATTTTCTTTTACCAAGCAGTGTTCATATCCTTGGCTCTGCTGTCTGTCTGTCTTGAATGATGAGAAGGAGTAAAGAGATTTTTCACATGAACATGGGGGAAGATTTGACCTTGTCTCCTAGCACTGCTCCGGAGGGTCCACCTCTGAGCCTTGAAGCCCCAGGGCAGGCGCTCCAGGGTGGAGCGTGGAGTCTGTGCTTTTCTCAGCCGGAGCAGTTGCCGATGGACTCTGCTCCTGGCAATTCCTACTTCCACCTACCCTGTGGGTCTGGTGACTCAGCCTGGGCTTCGAGGATTAGCTCCTTCATTTCTTTCCTCTCTGCATTGACTTCTGTGGCATGATGAGAGGGAAACATGGCCAGACTTGTGCCCTGGGCTGGAGTGGTTGCAGGTGCTTAGGCTCGTTACCTGGGTGCCGCTTTCTTGCAGGTACCCACAGTTGGGTTCAGGAATTTCTATGTGTCAGGTGGGAATGCAAATGGTAGTGGTGGTTTTTGTTGGGATTGATGCAGTGATGGGGGTCGCATTTGCAGTTGAGGGCCAGGTGTTTGGGTTCTTCCATGTGGCAGGGATAAAGAGGAAAGCTGGCCTCTGGAGTCCTGAGCTGTCTGAGAGGCAGTGCCTCTGGCCACCCCAGGATGGAGGCCGCCTCCCAGCCCTGGCTGATGGGGGAGAAGCAGCAGATTCCCCAGACGTGGTATGGCAGACCTTTGGAAGTTTCACTTGGCCTCCACTTGACCTTGCGAGGCTAAAGGCTACAGCCCCATGTGTTCCATGTGCTGTTGAACGTGTTTGTGTTTCATTGAATGGATGATAATTTGGTTGAAAGGAGAGATGGTCACCAGTGGACTCAGTTTAGGAAGGCACAGAGGTCAACACTTTCCGTTTCTAGAACTTAGCCAAAGAAAAGTGCGGAGATGGAAGCGGGGCTGGCTACTTTGAGTGGTGGTGGAGCACCCAGCTGGGGCTTCCAGTTCCATTCCGTGTTCCAGCCGAAAGTACACTCCAGAAACAGACTCCTGGGCTCACAGTTGCATTACGTGAGGGAAGATTGGTACCTGCTTGTATTGGTTTTGTTAAAAGGAACTTATTGGTTTGAGGAAATGGGTAGAAAAGGCTGATGAAATGTTAAAAGGAAACGTTTGCAATGGCTTGGCCTTTGAGTAAAGATGGGAAAGATAAAATTACAGCCCAGGAATAGTAGCATGCTTAACTCCAGAAGGGCAGCTGGGAAGGCTCCTGCCTGCGGTCACTGAGACAGCCAGGCTTGAGCCCCCAGCTTCCTCTTCTGGGCCACAGGCTCCAGGTGGCGTTCAGAGGATGAGTGTGGGTCTGTCCTCGTGTCCTCTGCTTTGAAGGTTGCGACTTTTCTAGGGTTTATTTGGATAATTAAATTGTTTTTTTCCTGAGTATAAAAGCAGTATTTGTTGTATGAAACATGGGAAATACCCGACAGCGTAAAGAAGGCAGTGAAAACCATGACCTCTTGGCGAGCGCTGCTGCTGTTCCCATCCGGCGAATGCTGCTTTCCTGTCTCGTGAGCGTGAGCGGCTTTCGGAAAGCGCCATTTGAGGGGCTTCTCATCATCATCTTATGTTCTGTGTGCTCATTAAGGGGGTGGAAATAGATTTATGAATCCAAGAGGTAGCCAGAAGTTCATTTCTTCAATTTTCCAATATGCAAAATGACTAGAGCACAGCATGTCTCTGTGTGTGCGTGTCCCGGCGAGTCTCTGGAACACTCAGTGATCGTAGGTGTGCTCCAGCATCAAGGACCCTGGTCCCGGTGCTGTTATTTCCTGACTCTGTAAAAGGCCCCTTTACTTGCAGCAGTGACTCTTCGAGAAGACAGTGCCAAGAGGTTGGAGAGGAGGGCACGCCGCATCTCCGCATGCCTGTCGGATTATTCACTAGCCAGCGACAGTGGGGTGTTTGAACTCTAATAAAAAGGTGAAGCCAGTCTTACTATTTCCTTCTTCCTACGCAGAATCACTCTGTGTTACTTAAGTAAAATACAAAGATTCCATACTGAAGCTTTCATACATTGACACTTTATTTCTCCAGGGGCAGGATATTTTTCTAGCTTCTTCACCTTTGGGTGGTTGGGTTTTAGAAAGAAATCTTTCTCCTGACCTCGGGGCCTAAGTCAGCCTGATGGAGCTCAAAAAGGAGAATCAATGTATGGGAGAGCCCTGCTTTGCCGGAAAGAACATTCATTCATTAGAAATGAATTTCCTCCTCCTCCCCTTCTTGTTTTCTTAGCTATAGGAATATTTCTACAACATACAGCACCTTTTGGAATTCCATGCTTTATTTTGATGGGGCATCTTTGATGCATGTTTCACAATTTAAGTCTCCAGTATCTAGAAGACAGTTCACTCTAGAAGTTAATTTTTGAACATTTCCCTGAAGTATCACATGTGGTTTTGAAAGGTGTGCAAAGTTACTTTCTTCTTTTATTTGTTGTTTGTTTGTTTGTTTGAGACAGGGCTCTTGCTGTTGCTCAGGCTGGAGTGCAGTGGTGCAACTATAGCTCACTGCAGCTCCAACTCCTGGGCTCAAGCAATTCTCCCACTTCCAGCCCCACAGGTATCTGGGATTACAGGCATACACCACCGTGCCTGGCTAATTTTTGTATTTTTAGTAGAGATGGGGTTTCATCATGTTGCCCAGTCTGGTCTTGAACTCCTGAGCTCAAGTGATTGGCCTGCCTCCGCTCCCGGAAGTAATATAGATCACTCCTCCACACTTGGCTAATTTTTGTATTTTTAATAGAGACAGGTTTCACCATGTTGGCCAGGCTGGTCTTGAACTCCTGGATTCAAGTGATCCACCCGCCTCAGCCTTCCAAAGTGCTGGGATTATAGACATGAGCCATCGTGCTCCAGCTGCAAAGTTATTTTCCTAAAACAAGAACAACATAAAAAGAAATAGGCTGGGATACAGTGGCTCACGCCTTAATCCCAGCACTTTGGGAGGCTGAGGTGGGCGGATCACATGAGGTCAGGAAGTTCAAGACTAGCTCTGGCCAACATGGTGAAACCCTGTCTCTATTAAAAATACAAAAATTAGCTGGGCGTGGTGGCGGGTGCCTGTAATCCCAGCTACTGGGGAGGCTGAGGCAGGAGAAGGCTTGAGCCCAGCAGGCTAAGGTTGCAATGAGCCGAGATTGCACCAGCACTCCAGCCTGGGCCACAGAGCCAGACTCTGTCTCAGAAATAAAACAAAAATAAACAACAAACAAAAAAACTCCCAGCAGTTTGTAGGCAGGTACCCAGTAAGATGCCTCATGGATTCTGGGGCCCGCCCCCGTTCCTTCAGACATTATGACCTCATTGACTTACGCCACAACTTAATAAAGCTCCTTTTAGCATGAGAGATCTCCTGCAGAATCTGTAGATGACGGTTCCTCTGGAATGAAGTTGGCTGCATTTACCTCTGTGTTCAGGAACGAAGATGCCGAGGAGCCTGCCTACGGAGACACGGCCAGCAACGGAGACCCCAGATCCCACGTGGGACCCTAGAGTACAGACCCTAGCCTGTTGCCCCTCAGGCTGGCTGAGACCGGGTCCACTCCCATGGCTCCCACCTGCACACACAGGGCTGAGGGACTTTTGTTACCCCAGGTCTCAGGTGAGGGGACAGAGTTGGCAGGAAGGGAGTGACGGGGAGGTGGCTCCACTGTTGTCTTCCAACACGGAGATGCACAGCTGGGAGCCACTACTCCTGAAGCCGGGGCTCTGGCAGAGTGCGACTCCTTCGGGACGGTTGTGCCTGTGCCTGCCGGGGCTTGATTCTGCTCACTGCAGCACGGGTAGCAGGCTCCTCCTCACCCCCAAAGAAGTAATCTGCTGGTTGGCAGGACAACAATTGTTGGTTTCTAATTAGAGTGTCAATAAAGGCAGTGACTGCGAGGTGCCCCTGAGGGAGACAGGTGTTTGGGTCCCACCATTTCCCTTTGCTCACTCTTTCACTGCAGTCCAGGGCTCCTCCACCCAGCATGAGGTGTATTTGGTCATTGTTTGTTACGGGACTGTGCTGTACCTGGGCTTTACCCACTGGGTGCAGATGTGCCCTGGGGATAGGGTGGGGCAGAAAACCTCAGGCAGTAGATGGCCACGGCCATGCTGAGTCAGAAGGATGGTTTCACTGGGAGGCACCTGCCGACCGTGACTCATGTCTGGTTTCCTAGGCGCGACAGCGGCAACGAGTGTCTGCTCGTGCACGTTGCTGCAGCTGGAAGAACCCGGGGCGGCTGGCGGTGAAGGAAGACTGCAGCGTGGGCCAGGCTCCGGGCGCTGGCCAGCTGGCCACATGGCTGAGGAGAGGGAAAAGACAGTTTGGGAGCCTGAATTTCCAGGAAGTACCCAGGAAGTGCCTGTCTGAGGTGTAAAGTCTTCAAAAGAATCTAGTGAATGATTTGAGGCCGGTGCAGGTGCCGGTGCCAGTGCCCAGCTAGTGTGTGCCATGTTGGCGCAGAGGAGCCTTTGCATTCTGGGTGCTGGGGATGGGGTTGCTGATGCTGTCGTGCTCTGCTCTGTGATCTTGAGAGACCTCTGGCTGGGACCAGGGCGTCCCTGACGGAGCGGGAGGAGAAAATAGGCGTCGGGAGCAGCTAGTGCCTTTGGCCTCAGTTGTGGGGCCGCTGCCTCTCTGAGCTCCGTGGCTCCAGATGGGGGCCCGATAGAGGTCCCACTTTACCCAAGCAGGTGACCATGCCCGTAATGGTCTGTCTGGGGCTGCACAGGTGGGCCCTTTTGGCGAAGTCTTCTAAAGGCCTTAGGGACTGAGGTGGAGTAGTTGGGGGTTTGGCTGGGTTTGGCCACTCCCAGTGACCTTCTGCAGTGCTCACAGATGGCTCAAGCCCCCTCCCATGTGCCAGACTTGGGTAGGAGGTAAACACGGGCTACCCCATGGGTGATGGACTGAGAAAGCAGTGGGGGAGCCGTGCAGAAAGAGCTGAGGGGCAATTTCAAAAAAAGATGGGAGCAGTAGGGCCTGGAAGCGCCCACTGCTTCAGTCCTGGCTTGGAAGGCATCCTCCTTGTGGGGACTTCCCTATCCCTGGGGTAAGTCGGTCTATGCTTAGTTGAGAAAGGAGCTTTTGCAAAGGACTCAGATCAGGCTACAGGTCCTCAAAGGTTGCATGGGGCTCTTGCGCATCGGTAGGTCGTGCCTGTTTGGGCCCGAGGCATCTGTGAGCGCCGCCTGCACGTGCTCTTCCTCTCCCCATTCTATTTGCAGCCACATCCGCGTCTATTTGCCACCACTGGACTTGGGCACGCCCAACACTTACTGCTCCAAGGCTCTGGAGTTCCAGGTGCCGCTGGTGTTCAATGAAGCGTTCAGAATCCCGTGCACTCCAGCGCATTGACACTGTGTCACTCAGTTATAATGTAGTTCGTGACCCGCAGCTGCAGGAAGAACTGCTGGTATGGCGCCAGGCGCTCCGCCGCCCCGGCCTCCTCCTTCCTTTGTGTTTCAGTCAGCCGGTCTTTTTTTGTGTGTGTATCTTTTCTTTTCCCCTTCTTTCTCTTGTACTCTTTTGTGATAATTTCAGTTTTTGTCTGTTCTTTGCCTTTGGCCTCCCCTCTCTTCTGCCTCGCCTCTGGTTCCCTCACTCCTTTCCCCTCTGCCATCCTTCCTTTCTCCCGTGGTGGGTTGCTTAGAAGTTGTGATCTTCTTAAGTATTTCTGTGGCTGGAAATACAAACAGGGATGATCCAACCAGTGATCTTGTCAAGTACGTTGTACTTCTTAAAATGCGTCTCTCAGCTAGTACTCACAAACCCTGTGGGATGCCTTTGCGTCAGCCCCATCTTCAGTCCAGGGAACAAAGTAGGGGTTGACAGATTTTAGCAAAATTAAAATACAAGACAGTCAGCTAAATTCAAACTTCAAGTAAATTATGGATGTTCTTTAAAGCGTAAGTATTTCCCATGCGGTGTTTAAGACTCACAGGGAAACCCTGTGTTGTTTATTTGAAGTGCAGATTCACCGTGCTCCTGCATCATACTCTGGCAACCCTGAACGAGGCCTCAGGAGAATCCGCAGTTTGTCCCCTTGTGTATTCCAGCCATCCAGGGCCCATGCCAGGGTTGGCCAGGGTGGATTCCTTCCATGGCTGGAGTGTTCTCCCTTGGTCCTCTCCCCTCAGCAGCACAATTAGGGCATGTAGAGTTCAGCAGTCGCTTTTATTTCAGAAATTCCTGAGCAAATCTGCCTCATCAGGGCAGTAGAGCTGTGAGCCTGGCCCAGAACTCCGGGTTGCCCATTCTTTGCCCTGTCTCTTCTCTTCCCAGCACTTTCTGATTGGGTGGAACAGGCGACCAGGGAGCCACCCATTAGATTCTCCTTGCAGTTGCTTTCATTGTGCTGCAGTCCTTGGCAACCCCGCCTCTACTACAAAATACAAAAATAACCGGGTGTGGTGGCGCACACTTATAATCCTAACTACTCGGGAGGCTGAGGCGGGGAAATCTGTTGAACCAGGGAGGTGGAGGTTGCAGTGAGCTGAGATCGCACCACTGGCCCCACAGCCTGGGCAACAGGGCGAGACTCCATCTCTCTCTCTCTGTCTCTCTCTCTCTCACACACACACACAAAGATTGAAGGGTGAAGTGAATTTTTGAGACCAGGTCTGTTGCCCAGATGGAACGCAGGGTAAGGATTTCTGCTCACCGCAAGAGCCTCTCAAGCAGATGGGGCCACAGTTGTACATCATCATGCCCGCTGATTTTTAAATTTTTTTGTAGAGGCAGAGTCTTAGCTCTTTGCCCAGGCTGGTCTCGAACTCCTGGCTCAAACAATCCTCCCACTGGCCTCCCAAATCCCATGCCTGGGATTACAGGCATGAGCCACCTGGGCTCTGCCTTAACTGAATATTTTAAAGGCCTCTAGTCATTATGGTGAAATCATTCAGTGCCTGTTCTGACGCTTTCTTAATACTGCAGGGCATTGCCTGTGATTAACCTGGCTGACTATGACAGTTTGAGTGGAGATGTAGCCGCGCTGGCATTCCGTCCAGGTGTTCACCAGCTCTGAGCCATCGAGACGCTGAGCCTGGGTGTGCGGGAGGAGCTCCGACCCGTGATCCTGCACACACCATCTCCATCTCCTAAAACGGGGTATTTGGCCCTGCTCTAAGGAGCTGATCGTTGCTGCCTTCATGACTCTGAGACTGGGACTTTGTCTTTGGGAAGTCATTTCTTAGAAGTGTCTTTGTAGATATGAGTCAGTATAGTGGGGTAAAGGAGTAGTTTCATAATGCCATTGCTTGAGAATTTTTTTTTAATGCAAACGTGTTCACGGTACACATGGTCGCGAGAGTGGTACCTGGGTGGTACACTGGCTACTTTTAAATAGGAGCCCTCAGAGCTGCAGAAAAAGGCTACATGAATGCCTCCACCCCAGACCTAGGTAGGGTGAGTTTCTTCTCACGGAAGGGCAGCAGAGTGGCCTCCTATCTGTGCCAGGTGGACACCTGCTGTGTACGCAGGGGTCTGCTGGCCTGAGCTGTCCTCACGACTTTCCTCCTGCAGGATGTGTGACAGTGCTCCTGGCCAGAACCACGCACAGCTGCAGGCGGTGGAGAGGGAGCTGGCCGAGGAGCGGCCAAGCTGAGTACACGGAGGAGGAGGTCCTGGAGATGGAGCGCAAGGAGGAGCAGACCGAGGCTGTATCCGAGCGGTAAGGGGCACCAGCGGGCGCTGGCCCGGCTCGTGCCTCCTGGAAAGGAGCATGGGGTGCTCCTGTGGCTCAGAACTGCGGAAAAACTGTCATGGGAAGCATTACTTTCTCTGGGAGACAGCCAGTGTGCCAGGCAGCGTAGCTGTCTCTGAGATGCACTTGCTTTCCTCAGCCATGCCTCCATAGAAGGTGCTGGGCAATCGTTAGGTACCACTGCCCAGAAGTTGATTCTGGAGGGAATTGAGTGCTGGTCTGGATGAGGGCAGCTCCCTGTTCCTCTCTGACTCTCACGTGTGCTTTCACTTTTTCCTCTGTCTGTCCTGGAGTTTCTCACAAGAGTGGGGCTGCTTGAAGTACTGCCTCTCCCAGGATTGGACATGGAAAAGGTCCTCAGCTGCTTGGATTTTTTTTTTTTTTTCTTTTTAACACTCCTTATTGAGATAATAGCTCCGCCTCCCATACAGTTCACCATTTAAAGTGCACAGTTAGGTGGTTTCAGGACTGAATGGCAATAGCCAATTTTACAGCATTTTATTTTCATCACACCCTCTCTGCCTATCCTCAGCCAAATGCGCTCTCCCAGGTTCCTCTGATTCCCTGCAACTACAAATCTGCCCTCTGTGTCTATAGACCTGCCGGTCTGGACACTTCCTACAAAGGGGGTCATGCGGTGTCCCTTTCTGCTTCACCTGAAGCAGCCTGTTGGTGAACTTTTTGGCCCCGTGGAGACCTGCATGATAGATGAATGATTTTCGCTTGAATGGGCGCCTGGTGCCCTGGCTTGTGTTCGTTGTCTCTGGAGGTGCTGTACATATTGCTGTACTTCCACATTTTTCCATAAAGTGCACCATCTTTCCAGGGCTTCCTGCTGCTTCCCGATGGCTTTCTGGAGCTTAGTTTACAGGGAGGAGTTTATTTTGGGAGCCGATAGTGCATGCAGAGGGGAAGGTGTTGTGTTCAGGGATGGACAGGAGTTGGGAGGGGTTTGGGGGCTGGAGTGGTGCAGTTTTCGAATCTCAGTGGCTGCCACTGGTGATAGAGAAAGCCCTCTTAAGGAAAAGTCCTTCAAGAGCCATCTTCCTGGAAAACAGAACCACCTTTTTACTTTATGAGAGACGCACAGTCTTCAATCATTGGAAAGAAATAGGTTTTATTGCATTACCTCTACTACTGTGCTCTAAGAGTAGCAAGGAATACATCCTGTCGGTGACTATTTGGCTTGCCATGTCCGCCTTCAGGAGTTGGTACAGACTCGGTGGATAGCGGTTGTAGCAACTGCACCCAGACCAGCCTCCGCACCCAGAGCCCTGCTGCGTGGGTATCGACTCCATCCTGGGCCATCCATTTGTTGCTCAGGCAGGGCCTTACAGCCCAGAGAAATTTCAGCCCTCACCTCTTAAGGTAAGTAGAAAACATAGGGGATTTTCCGGAGCCCTCACCCCAACATTTGCCACATGTACTCAGGTACTGCCCTGGAAGGAGAGGCTGTGTACCCCCAAATTCTTTGTGGGAAGTGTCAGGGTATGGGGGAAGATGCACCAAAGGCAAGCAGAGCCAGGGCTCCTGGGGAGGAGAGCCACATGGCTGACCTGCACACACACCCAGTGGCCCGGGTGTTGGGCACAGGAGAATGTCGTGGTATAGAATGGACACTGCTGTTGGATTTGAGGGCCACAGCTAAGGCTGGGTTTACTGTGAGCTGAGGAAAAGAAGTGAATGGCCCTTCAGATCTGTAAGGGCTTGAATAGGCACAGCTGATCCATTCCCACCTTCAGGGACAAACGAGGCTCCGGAGGGTTCAAGGAGTCCCACAGGTTTTGGACATTTGTAGTTCCTCTTCCCCTTTTGTGAAATGTAGAATAGTGCTGTCCTTTTGCCCCTTCTGCTCATCTGCCTCTAGCTGTAGCAGCCACCCTGTCTTTAGGGGAGAAGTCTCATGGGCTTACAGCGCCTGTGAAGTCAGGGAAGACATTGTCAATGCTGTTTCGAAAACTTGGTTTCCACTGTTCAGCTCACAAAAGTATTTTATCACCTCACGCCCCTGCTCTCTACCCAGAAGCACAAAGTGAAATCTGCCCCCGGCAGCTTCCCAAGCTGTAACCCACAGCAGGTTCCAGTTGTTTTGGATCAGGCTGCTGGTCATGGCCCTTGTCCAACTTTCTGAGATCTCAAAGAAGCAGCCCGCCAGGGTGAGTGGCCGTGGAGGGTTATTTGGTGTTTCCTTCCTCAACTTCTTTTAGTTTTGAAAAAGCGAAATCTGTGGAGAAGTTGCTAGAATAATGCAACAAATACCTATACACCCTACTACCTAGATCCCACAGTTGTTAGTTCTTCACCACATTTGCATTCTCCCTTTCTGTGTGGGCATCACAGATACAACATTAGTATAGTGGGTGAATAGGAAAAGAAAAAAAAAGCAAACAAACTCCCACCCTCGAGAGGGAGACGCCAGAGGAGACATCACATGTACGCCCTGTCACAGAGAGCAAGGGGGCTTCTGGAGAATGCAATGGCAGGGAAGCGGGCAGACACCTGTAGAGAGGTTTGCAGTTTTAGAAAGGGTTCACATTTAGAAAATGTCAGGATGATAAAAGGGTACAACTGCTATGGAAAACAGTATGGTGGTTCTTCAAAACATTAAAAATAGAACCACCATAGGATCCCCGCAGTCCCGCTCTCTGGGTATATCTGGGTGTATATCTAGGAAGAATTGAAAGGATCTGAAGAAACAATGCACATGTTTGTAGCAGCAGCATTATTCACAGTAGCCAAGAGGTGGAAGCAACTAAAGTGTCCATCATGGATGAGTGGATAAAGAAAACGTGGTCTATCCATGCAATAGAATATTCAACCTAAATGGAAGGAAATTCTGTCACGCTGCAACGGGATGAGCTTTGAGGACTCATGCTGAGGAATAAGCCAGTGTGAATATTTATTTAGTTCAACTGTTTGAGCATGTCTCTGCATACAACTCCTAAAATCGTTAGAATCTGAAAAGAAATCTTTTTATGCCAATGAATTGACTGCTGGCTGGTTAGAAAAGCACAAAAGACAAATACTCACTGTGAGGTCTGAGGAGAAATTGAGGGCAGAAAAGCAGACAGGTTACATAGAGCTTGCATGGGGTGTAGGGGCTGTGTTACAGAACAGAGCCCAGTCCACCACCCGGTGCAGTAAACTAATGGTTCGCATGAAGGTGTTTTGCAGTAGAAAGAGGGTGTTTATTTGCAGGCGCTAAGCAAGGAGATTTGGGCAGCTCACTTTAAGACCCGGCCTTCCAGCTTGCAGGGAAGGGTTTTTAAAGGCAGAGGTAAATTTGTGAAAGCAGAAGTCACAGGCAAAATCCTAAACCAATTCCAGAGGTTACACATTGCTTTTGGCTCAGAAGGATAGCATATCTTGATGTGGGGGCTTGCAGGATGTAGGTGATTCAAAGATTTTCTGATTGCAATTGGTTCAGGAGGCAAAGCTTTGTCTAAAAATTTGGGGTCAGCAGAAAAGATGGTTAGCTCTGACTTGTGGGTGTGACTCCCTGCAGACCTCTCAGGAAGAAATTCAGAATAAAGAGCAAGGGTCAGAGTACAGTCCTTAGCTCCACCTTATGTGAGTTCTGTGCCAGCAGGTCCCTTTGGTGGGAGTCTGGGTTTCTGAAAGACAATCAGGCACATAGGTTAACATGTCTTTGGTTTCTCTTTTTTCTTTCTTTCTTCTTTCTCTTCTCTCTCTTCTCCTCTCTTCTCTTCTCTTCTTCTTCTTTCTTTTTGAGATGGAGTCTCACCTATCCCCAGGCTGCAGTGCAGTGGCGTGATCTCAGCTCACTACAACCTCCGCCTCTTGGGTTCAAGCAATTCTCATGGCTCAGCCTCCCAAGTAGCTGGGATTACAGGCGCCCATTGCCCTGCCCAGCTGACTTTTTTTTTTTGTAGCAGAGATGGAGTTTCATCATGTTGGCCAGGCTGGTCTCAACCCCTGGCTCCTCAAGTGATCCACCTGTCTTGGTCTCCCAAACTGGTGGGATTACGGGTGTGAGCCACCACGCCTGGCCAAGATGTCTTTAGTTTCTCTAGGGAACCAAACATCTCCAGACTCTAACTTGCTTGGCTATTGTTTTAGGCTACTATTACCTTCTTGCTTATCAAGTTACTTACTTACATCTCAGGGATAGCAAGGTACCTGGCCCTCTTTGAAAGAAATTGATTTTCCTTTATGTCCATGCTCGAGGTCTGCAGGCCCCTAAAACGGATCTCTCTGTCTCAGGAGTGGAATGGGGAGTTGTTTTTTAGTGGAGAGGGCAGAGTTTCAGCTTCACAAGATAAAGAAGTCCTGAGATCTGCTAAACAATGTGAATAGACGCCATTGAACTGGGCCTGTACAAATGGTTAGAGCAGTGGTAAATTTTGTTGTGTGGTTTTTTTCCACAATTTTTTGTGGCTGTGTGGGAGCAGCCAGTGTGTGTTGTGGGGTGGTGCTGAGGATGAAGGGAGTGAAGTGGTCAGATCGTGCAGGGCCCACTCAGGACCCTGCCTTTTCTCTAAGGCATGAGTAGCTGGTGGGTTTTATTTATGTCATACGATCTGACTGGAAGCTTTTCATTAGTGTTTTCTAAAAATTTATTGATTTGAAGTCTACATAAAGGGAAGCATTTTAAAAGTGTAATATGCACAGTGGCATTTGGTCCACAGTGTTGCTCACTCCGCCACTCTATTTAGTTTGGATGTTTCCATCACCCCAGAGTAAACTCCGCCCATTGAGCAGTCACTCCCATTCCCCTTCCCCAGCCACCTGCAGCTACCAAAATCTGCTTTCTGGTTATGGATTTACCTCTTCTGGATGTTTCCAGAAGTGGAATCATATACTATGTGGCCTTTGGTGCATGGCTTCTTTCACTCAGCACAATATTTTCAAGGTTTATTTACATTTTAGCGTATATAAAAACTCCATTGGTTTTTAAGTGGCTTAACATTATTTTTGTGTGGATAAGACTACATTTTGTTGATCCATTGATTCGTCAATGGACATTTGATGTTTCGGCCCCTTTGGCCTAGTCAGTTTTCCTGGCATGTCCCTGGTTGCTATGTTGAGAATAGATCGAAGGGCAGAGAGGTGTGGAATTGGGAAGACCACTGAGGCATCTACTGCACTCATCTGGGCATGAGATGATGGCAACTCAGGTGAAGGGTTGCTGACAAGCCAAACCCACTCATGGCCGGGCGTGGTGGCCTGCCTGTAATCCCAGCACTTTGGGAGGCCGAGATGGGCAGATCACGAGGTCAGGAGATCAAGACCATCCTGGCTAATACGATGAAACCCCGTCTCTACTAAAAATACAAAAACTTAGCCGGGCAAGGTGGTAGCCTTCTGTAGTCCCAGCTACTTGGGAGGCTGAGGCAGGAGAATGGCGTGAATCTGGGAGGCGGAGCTTGCAGTGAGCTGAGATCCGGCCACTGCACTCCAGCCTGGGCGACAGAGCAAGACTCCGTCTCAAAAAAAAAAAAAAAAAAAAGAATCACTTGATGTTGAACACAGAGCCAGCAGGGATCGCTTCTTGACCAGATATGGGGTGCAAAAGAGATCAGGAGTCCGGGATGACCTGATATTCTTCGCGATGAACAAATGGAAAGTTGAGATCCCTGTGAGAGGAGGCCGGGGTGGGGTTGGGGGATATCAGCCTTCCAGGGCATGGAGGCACGTGTGAAACTCCAGCTTAACCTGAATGGAGAAGTGAAAGACAGGGTTGTTCTGTAAGTTTATTGCTCACGCTAATGAAAGACGCCATGGTCACGAGTGAACCACTCCCTAGGTTGATAAGGAAACCAACACAGAAGATCTCTTCCGAAGAAGCAGCCAGCCTCCCTGAAGGAGCGGTCCAGGCCGCCGGCCCGAGGCTGCCTTTTGTTCGGAGTGGCACGACATTGTCCGTTCCCAGACCTCTCACCTGAGCACGGTTGCATGTTTGCAGAGTAAGTTGGAATTCCTTTGTCACCTGTCTGAATGTTTTCTCCGGGCCCCCTTTGTGATGTTTTTTTTTTTTTTTCCTGCTGTTTATACTGAGAGGCATATGTATTTGCACCAATGATACCAATCCATGCACTGCGAACTTTACAGGTAATGCCGGTGATGACATCAGTGCTGTGATCTCCCCACATGCCTTACCATGCTTATCTAACTCTGGATTTGTTCAGGGTTCAAATTCATCCCTTCCCCCAGTTTTCAGTGTTGTGTATGTACTGACCTGTGGACAACAAGCAGAGCGAATCATTTCTACCTCAGCGTAAAGAACAAGTGGAAGCAGGGGTTCTCTTGAATGGGTTGAGCTGGAGGAGCCGGGAACCTGAGTGGCTTGGAGCCCTGTGGGGCAGCCAGGTCTCTGGGTCAGAGGGTGGGTGGTCCTGGCAGAGGGGCAGTGGGTTCTCACTCACCCACATGTAAATTCCCAACCTGCGGATGAGTGGGAGACACTCAGCAGTTCTCAGCCATGGCTGGGCGCTCTCTTTGCAGTCAAATCACGGGGAGGGGGCGGATTCAACAGGATCCCGGTACCCACATAACACCCCAGAGATTTGCCATTGGTCACAGGTAAGGCCTGGGCATCAGAACTTCCGGAAGCACCCAGATGCTTCTAGCATGTCACACAAGGCTGAGAACCCCAAGGTGGGTGGAGGGAAGACTGAGCCAGTGTGGCTAATGAAGGTAGGACAGAGTGATAGTGCCAGCATGGACTTGTACAGAAAGGGCTTTTAAGGATGGTGGCTCAAGATTACATGCGACCTGGAGGGGCCGCTTGTTGGAGAACCATGACCCTTCCTGCACCTCTGAATTGAGGCTGTTGAAGAAGGCATCTGCCCTGAGGTGTTGGCTCCATGAGGGCAGAGCCAAGGCAGATCTTCAGAGAGGGAAGGACCTGAGACCCTCAAAGGAGATGTTGCAAACACTGTGGGAGGGGGACTAGGTGACCAAAACGCCCTCTCAGCCATGTTGGTGAGACCTGCCACTGTTGTCCTATTGGTCCAAAGTGTCCCTGCTGGCAACTGCCCTCGATGGTGCTGGGTCCAGTCTGGGCCTCCCACTGGCCATGCTTCAGCCCCATGGAGGCTGATGCCCAAGCGCTTGGCTGGACGCTCTAGATGGAAGGCCACACTCACTGTCCTCCTTGTTCCAGGCTCCTGCCAAGTCACCAACGTGCCGGCTGGAGGGGCTGCTTATTGAGGGGGGAAGGGTGCAAGCAGGTAGTGCTTTGCTTACCCAGAGGAAAAGCTCTGTGTGCCTGCGTAACAGCTGCAATTTACTGGCAATGTTTGGGATGCTTCGCTGTTCTGTATGTTTGTATGAATGCCGTGCAGGTGTGCTGCCAGGCCGCTGCACTTCCTGGAGTAGGTTTACTGGCGTGGAAAATAAGGCCATGAAGGCAGGGATGTTGGATTTCTCAGAGTCACACTGATCCTGAGGTGACACCCTGCCACCAAATGAAGGCTGTAATAATTTGATTCCCATAAAGATGACATCTTTACTTTCTTGTTTAAAAGTACACCTGTCCCTTGATGGAGTACAGCTGCAGTTGGCAATGTTGGCTTATCCTACTACCAGGAGTGAGTCTCTTTTGGAAGTCATTTTCCCCAGCTATTGCCAAAGCCACAAATACAGCCCATGAGAAAGACTGAGGAAAAGTGAACCGCTGAGGGTGAGTTGGCCTTCGTGGGGACTGATAGGCACGAAACAGCGTTGGTATGGATCACATGGAGATGTTGTTGGCTCAGTTAGCCTGGAAACTGGGGGAGGGCTTCGCTTGCTTGTTTTTTTTTTTTTTTTTTTTTTTTTTTTTCATTTTAGCAGAAACTCTTGTTTAAATTGAAACCCAAAGACCTTCTCCAAGCACCAGTAATCATAAGTGCACTTGAGGGCCTGTGAAGAGGATGAAAATAATCCATTCTGAGACTCTGAGTACACACAGAGAATGAGCTGTGCGTTGCTGAGAAATTGTTTCTGAACATCATTCTTTTTGGTACAGCTTTATCGTAGTGACAGTGACAGTTCAACGCTTGCCCCCGAAGTCCCCTTTATCCAAACACTTTGAAAGACGAACCTCTTCGCTATAAGCAGGTGTGTGCCCTGTAAACAACATGGAATCTGTGCTTGCCCTGTGAGTGATTTTTACAAGCCTTAAAAGGTAATATTTAAGGTCATGTAAATGAAAAGGTAGTATTTGTATTTTTTTGTTTACTTAACAGATGTAATGTCATAATGTTGCTAATATTTCTTAAGATAGTATCATGGTTTCAGATAATCCATGATCTTTACATTCTTCAGTATAATAAATAACCATTTCTATATAATAGGCTCTTTTCTCTTTTTTTGACAGGAGAATATATATAGTTTAGAAAAGTTGAGTTTTTCAACATATTACCTTTCTGGGCAGGGATCGCTTAATATATATATATATTTTGTGTGAGTGTGTGTGTGTGTAGAGGGGAAGAGAGACGGAAACACAAAAACCCCTGATTTCCCATATGGCAGCTTGTGCCTACCACATAGAAGAGTGGCTGCTGACTGAAGAAAAAGAAAGTTTATAATTTGGGCTCAGGTGCAGAGGCTCACGCCTATAATCCCAGCACTTTGGGAGGCTGAGGCGGGCGGATCACCTGAGGTTAGGAGTTCGAGACCAGCCTCCGTCCAAACAGGAATCCTGTCTCAATAAAAATACGAAAATTAAGCCAGGCATGGCAGCACTGCCTGTAATTCCCAGCTACTCAGAAGGCTGAGGCAGGAGAATTGCATGAACCCGGGAGGGCGGAGGTTGCAGTGAGCTTAGATCACGCCACTGCACTCCAACCTGGGAGACAGAGCAAGACTCCATCTCAAAAAAAAAAAAAAAAACAAAAACAAAAACAAAGTGCATAATTTGGCTGCAGAAGTGTCTCACAGCAGCACTGCTGCTGGCATTTCAGACAGGCCTGTATTCTCTTTGCTGTAGGGGCTGCCCCGTGCACTATAGGATGTTGAGTAGTCTCTGGCCCATTCTCACCAGATGCCAGTAACACCCCATCACAGCACACATGCAGTTGTGGGACACCCAAAATGTCCACAGACATTGCCAGCTGTCCTCCGGGGGACCAGATTCTCCTGGTTGAGAACCATGGAGCTCTGCTGGGAATTCAGCAGTGCTTTTAAATAATGTATATTAAGTTACAACCCATATTTGCATTTAAATTCTGTGTATGTGCAAACAGTGTTGTGTGTGTAAAGCATGCTGTGACTCAGGCCACTGACTCATGGTGATTGGCAAATGGATTTGTGGTTTTGCTGCGGTGACTGCTCTCTCAGGGTTCTGTTTCCCGTTGGATGGGAAGTACAGTTCGGCAGACAAGTCTTTTCCCTGTCAGGGCTTTCCTGAACATAGGTATGTTTGCTTACTTGGGGCTTATATGGGGAGGCAGCTTTGGAAAGCTTGCACGTGTGTGTCTGCGTGTTTGCGTGTGTGTGTATATACTTTTTCTTTAAACAACAAGTACTCCTGTGGTTCATAACATACTTTTCTTTCCCGCTGTACAGTGGATCATTAAGATTTTTCCCATGTCCATATTTTTTCAACTTGTTACAATGGCTACATTTTATACTGGCCTTGTAATTTATTTAATGTTTCCTGCTGTTATAGACGACGGTTTTTTCTGTCATAAACCTTAATGACTCACTTTTGCATGTCAACAGTTATGCTCTTCTCGGATGCAAGTTTGCTTTAGATATATATATATTCTCAAATGGCCCTTCAGGAAAGATTGTGCCGCTTTTTTGGTCCTGCCAGCCCCATGTAAGAGCATCTGTTGCTGCACACTTCTGCCAATACATAGGTCATCATTAAAGAAACACTTTGTCAGCATTAACCTTGATACTTGAACTAGATTTACATTACTCTTGCCTACATCTGTGTTTTCTTTTTTAACCTTGGGTGTGCTTAGAGAAATACAGCCTGACTTGTCTCCTATTGTGGAAGAACCTTCTAGAAGGCTCTGGAGTGAGGCTCACAGCTGGTGTCTCTTGCAGTCATGCAGGTCTTCCCTGGTTGAGCTCATGGCCCGTACCTCCCTGACTTGGAGCTGGATCTCCAGGCGCGAGAACAGCCGCAGAGGCAGCGGAACGAGGAGCTCTGTGTTTCAAAGAGCTGGCGTGCAGCGGTTGAGGACGCCCAGCCCGCTGGGCGCGAGACTCACCTCCCACTCCTGGGGTGTCGGGACGCAGCGGCCCCGCGGGCCTGCTGCGGAGGCCGAAGCGGCAGGTGGGTCCCCTGTAGTCAGCTCCCGCTGCACTCCACTGCTCCGCTCCGGCTGTGAAGGGAGCCTCCCAGACATGGAGGTGGTCCCTGAAGTGTCCCACCGCTGGGCTCTCGGAGCCCCTTCTCCCTCTGTGGCCTACAGATGGCGCCTGTACTTCCGCGTCCATCTGGAGGCTGCGGGTGCTGGAGGAAGGGTCCTGGGCCCTCTCCACCTTGTGGGGGAACATTCTGGGTCCCTAGTTGTCAGGCCTGACTCCAGCCACCCCTGGCCTCCGTCTCCTGGAGGAATTCCTGGGGGGTTGTGGGGGGAGGTGGGTGAGGTGTCCATCTCTCCTGGGTCGCACTCACTGACTGTGGTTGTCTTTCCTGGGCTGTGGCTGGCAGTGACTTACTCATTCTTCCTTAAAAAAAAAAAAAAAAAAAAAACAATAAAATCACCTCGTTGGTCCAATGTTGCTGTTCCAGACAAGACAGACTCAAACTTTTGACTACCACATGAGCAAGCAGCTGAGAAGATGCTGAAGAAGGCCTCCCAAGGTATCTACTAGCTGCGCGCAGAGCCACAAAGAGCCTATCCAAGTGCAGACTTTAGGTATGGCAGAGGCGCAGCAAGACGGCCCCTAGTCTGCCTTTCCTTACTGTTGTGCCTTTGGCATGGTAGAAAGTACACTGAGTCTGTTTTTGCTTTTCTTTTGAGACAGTCTCACTCTGTCACCCAGGCTGGAGTGCAGTGGCGCTATCTCATCTCACTGCACCCTCTGCCCCCTGGGCTCAAACAAGTCTCATGCTCTAACCTCCCGAGTATTGGGATTACATGATGGCGCGGCCATGCCCGGCTAATTGTTAAACCTTAGTAGACTGGCTGCCATGTTGCTCAGGCTGATCTCAAACTCCTGACCTCAAATGATTCACCTGCCTCGGCCTCCCAAAGTGCTGGGATTACAGGCGTGGAGCTCCCAAGGGTCCAGCCTCCCATGAGTCTTTAAAACCCATGGAAAGTCGAACAAAACAGAATCCACTGCAGCCAGCAGTGTATTTTCATGTTTTTATCCTGATCTTTTTTCCTCATACAGTTTTTTTCATGCCACTTCTAATCATAATGTGGGTCTAATTTTGCATTTAGCATTTTTAAAATTAAATATTCTATGTTGCTGTATAATCTGTCATCTTGTAATGTCTCATCTAATAGTTTACTCAACCACTATATTTTATAACATGCTGCTCATCTTCAAATGTTGGCTATTGTAAATAACAGTGATAAACATACACATACATATATGTCACCCCAACCCCAGACAGGGTCTCACTCTGTCACCCAGGCTGGAGTGTGGTGGCTCAGTCATGGCTCATTACAGCCTTGACCTCCCAGGCTCGAGTGATCCTCCCAACTCGCCCTCTCAAGTAGCTGGGACTGTAGGCACATGCCACCATGCCCTGCTCATTTTTGTAGAGATGGGGTCTCACTGTGCTGTCCCAGGCTGATCTCAAACTCCTGAGCTCAAGCAATCCACCTGCCTCAGCTGCCTCAGTGCCCCAGGATTACAGGCACATTTTCACTGCACCCGAGCACCCTTGCTTTTTTTCAATTAACTTTTGATTAAGGCAAATGTATCTGCAGGAAAGCTGTATATCATACACACATGGTCCAGTGAATTGTTACAAACTCGCCCCAGGAATCGATCATTATCAGCGCCCTAGATCCCACACTAGAGGCAACCACCACCTTGAATTCTAATAGTATCGATTGGTTTTGTCTGTTTTGTTTTTGCTGAGGGGATTTTTACAGATATATCATTATTCTTTTTGTGTCTGGGGAAAATTAAGCTGAAATTCACATAACATAAAATGACTATCTTACACTCTCCAGCTTTGGCGCATCCACAATGTTATGCAACCACCCTCTGTCTAGTCTCCAGAACATTTTTACCACCTCAAAAGTAAACCCTATACCCATGAAGCAGTCACTCCCCTTCTCCTCCCCTGAGCTCTGTCTCTAGGGATTTGCCTTTCTGACTGTTTCCATAGAATGGGATCATATCTTACGTGACTTTGTGTCTGGCTTCTTTCCCACAGCCGAGGGTTTTCGAGGTTCATCCATGTCGTAGCCTATGTGTCAGTGTGTCCTTCCTTGTTAAGGGTGAATAAAATGTGTCTGACGGTTAGCCCTAATTTTTGTATATACATTAGAATATTCAGCATAGTTTTCACTTTTTTCATTCATTTTGTTAATAATGGTTGGTATTTCCTGAGCACCTAATATACACCAGGCATTGTTCTAGGTAATCGGAGATGAAGAAACCCCCTGCCCTTATGGTTCTTCATAATTCACATTTGGAGACTCTGTATACAAGCACATGTGTTGTTGGGGACTTAAATTCAGTTTGTTGTATGAATAAGAAAAGTTATGATTGATAAGGGAGAGCTACCTAGCTTCCGGCCTCATATCAGCTTGACGGTAATCTTCCTGTCCCAGGAGAAGATAGCATTCTCACGCAGGCCAAGGATCAACATACCTCCTCTCCCCAGCCGACGACGCCCTGATGAGTGTGCGTTGTGCACATGAAGTATTTATCCGCCTGTTTTATTTTCATGAAGTTCTTAGACTAGCTGAATTTGTCTTTAAAATATTTGTGCAAAGCTATTAATATACACATTTTGTAAAAAAAAAAAAAAAACACGTATATCTATTCATATATATTTTATAATAGTGACGGCAACAGGGCTTGGTTTTTCCTTGTTGTGAAATCGACATCTCTGAAGACAGGTTATTTTATAAAAGATCAATTATCATGTTAAGAATGTACAGTTTTTATGTGCTGTTTTATTTGGATTAAAGGCTGGAAGACAGAAACGGGCGAGTTCAGGCAAATTCACTGTATTGTAATTTATTTATAGTACTTTTTTTTCCTTGAAGGAAAATACTGACTTTAAGATGTATTTTAAGACTGAAATTTTGTTCTTTAGTACTTTTCATGCAGTAGAATGGAACTTGGGGCTGGTTTTGTTTTTGACACCTGAAATGCAAACACTATGTGCCAAATTGTGGTTACGTATCATATGTGCATTTACCATGTATATTGTACACGCTCACTCCCTTGATGTCATGTTAAATGTCTCTGCAGTGATTCAGCCGTGACTCAGAAGCATGTGTGTGTTGCAGAAGTCAGTCTCCGGCGTGGGCTGCACGCCAACCGCTCATTTCTGTGTTGTCTTCGGATACATCTCTCTGTGCTCAGCGTGAGTCTGAAGTGCAGGCGCCAGTGGGCCTCTGGTGTATGGGGCTTCAGCCTGCTTGCTTGTGGTGGCTGTCTGTCGGCTCCTCAGCCTGCCTGTCCGTGGTGGCTGTCCATGCTGCCTCGCCTCCCCACCCCGCCCTGTCCGACTGTAACAGACCAGGAAGGTGGCGGAGGAACTCCTGCCACGCCACTGTGTCATGAAGGAAAGTGAAAGGGAACGAGGAAGTAGGAACGCCTACGCTCAAGTGACCTGCGGATGAATATAGCAGTTAGGACATAGACACCATCACCTTTGAAGGTGCTTGTTTGGGGGAGGAAAGGACATACGGGATAGAACTACCCAGCGAGCCGCCCAGAGGAGAGTGGGATTGGGTTTGAGTCAGGAAGGCTCCTGTACTGAGCTTCTACTCACTATTCCTCAAGAAATCTTAGAACTAGCTTGTGAGGAAAACATTTAATGTAATAAAAATATGCCATTATTTCGAATGCCAAATGATATGGCAAATATTTTGCCTAATACATATTTATTATAGATGAAATGCATTCTTCAATGAGGCCTTTAATGAGTCAATGGTAAAAATACAGGAAATGTCAGAGAAACCTGAACCTGTAATCTTCCTTCTGACCTTTTCTTCCTTTCCCTTGAGATACCCCCTTTAACTGTGGCTCTCTTCATCAGTCTGTAGCTTCCCCTTGTATAAACCTGCTTCTTTTTACATTGCTTAAAAGGATTTAAAAGACCATTGACACGCGACTCCATCACTGACAATGAATTCGCCATGGTAAGACTGAAAACTTGATGCTTTTCTACACTTCTTGTCTCATGTATTTCGCTCTAGCCTTGCATGTTTTGTCTTTTTTTTTTTTTTCTTGGCCAATTCCTTTTATATGTGCCTACAACAGAGGTGGGGAGACACTTAGATGTTCCTGGTCCTTCCCAGTGTTGCTGGGCAGGCCCTGTCTCCAGGCTCCCAACTGTTGAAACTTTGAAGGGCACAAACAACCATCCACACTGCCAGACCCTAGACTGTTCAGGGTGCAGCCTATTTCCACCTCGGCCCAGGACACCCAGCCTGTGCCCTCCCACAAGGATCTTCTTCATGGGTAGGATTGAGGCTACTTTTCACAACCCCTGTTAAGTAGTTGTGTGGGAAACCCACCAGGCCAGCAGGGCCTCAGACAAATGTTTTCAAATAAATTCTACCGTTTGCCTGCACAGATTTCATTTGAAGTACTTCCTTCCACCCTGACACCCAAAGGGTTTTTTTTTTTTTTTAAGAGACAGGGTCTTGCTTTGTTGCCCAGGCTGGAGTGCAGGATGGATCACAGCTCACTGCAGCCTCAACCTCCTGGGCTCAGGTGACCTCTCCTGCCTCACCCTCCCAAAGTTCTGAGATTATAGGCATGAGCCACTGTGCCTAGCCTATTTTCATGTTTTTCTTTAGACTAAGGTCTTGCCTGTTGTCCAGGCTGATCTTGGACTTGCGAGCCACCATGCCTGGCTGGGTTTTTTACAAGAGAATTTTGTACTGATAGCCCGCACAGCATGATGCCACTTCTGCTCATCAGTCTGCTGAGTCTTAGGTTTTGCCACCTTCCTTTGAACTTCCCCTGCCTCCCTGCCTGTGTCCGCTTTTTTGCAGCTCAGTGCAAGGCCAGACAAGGAAAGAAAAGACAAAGGCAGGCCAGAGAGCTGGGCAGTTCTCTGCAGATGCAGATGCAGGCAGTGAGGTGGCCCCGAGTAGGCAGAAGACACCAAGCGCCCTATGCTTGTCATTCATGACGGGTCTTGTTTGACTAGTTCAGACTGCCACGCCAACCTCCCAGAAAATACCCCCACATGCCAGAAAAGTGGTCTCGTAAGGAGCTGAAGGGGGTGTTTCATCTATGTTTCAATCTCTCCATCTACACCAGGCCTCAATGAGAAGAAAACCAAAACGCTTGGCAGGTTTTAGGAGCAGTTCTGGTCTCAAAACCATCAGATCTGCCACCAGGGTTCTTTTTGAAAATAGTACCACAATGAAAAGGGACTGGCTTACTCATCTAATCACTGAATTGTCAGGCTTGATTGATAATTGTAGAATAAGTAGCCTTCGTTGTGGGAATAAGTTATAATCAGTATTCATCTCTTGTTTTTTGTCTGTTTTCTCTAATTGTGTCATTTGTACTGTTTGAAAAATATTCTTCTATAAAATTAAACTAACCTGCCTTAAGAACAGAGTGGAAATGTGTGGTTTTATGGAAAAAAATGTTTAATTATGGAAGCTTAAAGAGAAATGTGTGTTTTTACATAAAATATAGTTGGCAAAACTGATATAGTGCAGCTGAACACAGGCCTCATCCAGCTTCAACACGATCAGTCATGGCTGTCCTCTCCTTTACCCTCCAGCCCACTCCTCTCTTAGAGAATTTGAAGCAAAGCTGATACGCCTTTATCAAGTCATCTTGAAATATTTCAATATGTATTGCTAAAAGAGAAAAACACAATAACCTATCAGCATCCTAGCACTTAGCAATTCCTTACTTCTTCGTTACTAAATATCCAAGGTGTTTCAGTTATCTCATGTCATCTCTTTCTTTAACTTTGAACAGAATCTAAACATGATCCACTTATTAGGATTTTTTTTTTTTTTGTCTGTTTTTCTTTTTTGGTAATAGTTTTTCTTGATATATAACTCACATGACATACAATTCACCCATTTAATATGTATAATTCAGTGGTTTTAGTATATTCAGAGTCGTGCCAATATCACAATTTTTAGAACGTTTTCATCATCCCCCCAAAAAGCCCCCAAACTCTTTAGCAGTTGCTCCCCATTCCTCTGAGACCCCAGCAACCACTCATCTCTCTGTCTCTACACATTTGCCCGTTGTGAACATTTCATATCAATGACATATGTGGCCTTTGTGTCTGGGTTCATTCACTTAGCATATGCTTTCAAGGTTCATCCATGTTGTAGTGTGTGTTGAGACTCCATTCTTTTTTATGGCTGAATCATCTTCCATTGCATGGATAGGCCACATTTTCTTCATTTATCAGTTGATGGACACTTTGCTTCCACTTTGTGGCCATTATGGATAATGCTGCTATGGAATTTCACATTTAAGCTTTTCTGTGGATATATGTTTTCATTTCTCTTAGGTGTATACCTAAAAGTGGAATCACTGGGTTACATGGTAATTCCATGTTTAACTCTTTGAGGACTTGCCAGACTGTTTCCAAAGCAGCTGCGCCATTTCCCATTCCTACCAGCAGTTGCTCCACATCCTGGCCAACACTTGTGACGTCCTTTTCCTTATAGCTGTCTTAGTGGGTGCCAAGTGGTATCTCATTGTAGTTATGGCTGGCTTTTTTTGAGGTGGAATCTTGCTCTGTTGCCCAGCCTGCAGTGGCGCAATCTCGACTCACTGCAGCCTCTGCCTCCCAGGTTCAAGTGATTCTCCTGCCTCAGCCTCTGGAGTAGATGGGATTACAGGTGTGTGCCACCATGCCCAGCTAATTTTTGTATTTTTAGTAGAGACAGAGTTTCACCATGTTGGCCAGGCTGGTCTCAAACTCCTGACCTGAAGTGATTTGCCTACCTTGGCCTCCCAAAGTGTTGGGATTACAGGCGTGAGTCACCATGCACTGCGGAGTCAGATTTTTATTCTTGCCTTTACCCTATTTTTTCCCCTCTCCTTACAGGTAACCATTGGAAAGAGATTACTGTTTTTCCTTGCATTGTTATTTTAAAATATAAGCAGGTATATAAACGTGTGTACATACAAATATATACATATGACTACACAAATATGAACACATCTATATTTGTATTTTTCCCCCCTTTCTTGGGCAAATGGTAGCACAAAAACACATTTTTCTTCACCTGGCTTTTTTTACTTGAAAGTATATCCCTACAGGTGGTGCACACCTGTAGTCCCAGCTACTTGGGAGGCTGAGTTGGGAGGATCCTTTGACACCAGGGGTTCAAGAGTAGCCTGGACAATGTAGCGAGACTGCATTTCTTTAAAAAAAGAAAAACAGATATATCCCAGAGACCACCAAAGTCTGTATTGGCTGCTATAGTGATTTACCACAAGCTTGGTGGCTTAACAAAAATTTATTTCACAGTTCTCAAGGCCAAAAGTGCTAAATCAAGGTGTCACCAGGGCTACACTCTCTTCAGAGGCCCTAGGGGAGGATCCTTCCTGCCTCTTCTGGCTCCTGCTGCTGCTGACAATCCTTGGTTTGTGCAAGAAACATGACTCCAGTTTCGGCCCCATCATCACATCACCATTCCCTCTGTGTTTCTCCCTGTCTTCTCTCTTTCACAAGAAGGTCTGCCAT